AGATGCGGAGGGTGAGAGGATTCACCAGAGACAGAGTGGGGAGCAGAACAGGCAGATCGACGAAGTACACTGCTGAGGCAAGCAGCGGGCGGGTCAGGAGAGGTCTGCCACGCCATGTGGTCTCCTCCGGGGGCAGGCGGGAATCGAGCTCATGCAGAAGTGGCTTAAGCTTCTCAGTGCAGTGCTTTAACCCGCTGCGCCACCAGGGAGGGCCTCTAATGTCTCTTTTTACTAAAGAATTGTTTTTAATGTTTTTGCTAAATGTTTTAACTATTTAACAGTTATTATTTAGACATGGTTATAAGTTTTACTGACTTTTTTGTTTACTACTGTTTCTTGAATTTAATGACTTCTAGTCTCCTCCCTCGGTTTTTTTTACAGAAATAACTGAACATACTTTCTGAGCCCTTATTTATTGAAAGTTGTATTTTATTGTAATATTCAAGAAATGATTTGTCTGAGCATAAAATTAAATATTCAAAATCTTCCATCAACATTTAAAACATTGCTCTACAGTTTTATAACAACCATGTTATAGATGTAAAATCATTCCCACTATTATTACCACCACTATTGGTATCTCCTCTTTGATATCACTGAATTCAGAAGTTTCACCAGCATATGACTGTGACTCTCACTTTTTATTTATGCTGGGAAAATGTAGAGAATTTTAACTGGAGCTTAATTCTACCTTTAGCTAAGGTAATTTATTTTCTTTTTCAAATTTGTTCCTTTCCATCTAATTTATTTTCTGGCTATTTTTCTCTTTAAATTTTTCTTTCTGAAAATGATGTCTTTTGTTCTTTATGTTCTGTCTCCCATCTAACCATATAATTTCCCAATATGTAAATTTTTTGTATATTTTTAATTTACAGAATTATTTTATTACTTTTAGTTTGTAATTTCTTATGATTTCAAATTACTCTGTACATCTAGAGTTAATAACTAGATATTTTCAATTTCCCTTCATATATTACTTTCTTTTCTGATTCATTTTAGTTCTTTTATGTCATCCTATTTTTTTCCTTTCATATATTTCATTGTTCTTTGTTATTTTCTGTTACTATACCTGTTGCTCCTGGTGGAGAATAATTGATTATGACTCCGTATATCTAGAAAGCTCTTCTACCGCCCTTTAATATAAATAATATAGATCATATATATTAAATGAATAAATATCAAATGGTCTCTCCTCCAGGAAACTCTCCTAGTACCCTTAATGTTCCCCTTTCTGTTGTCTAAGAGCACCTGTGACCTATTTTTATTGTGGGTCTATAAGTTACTTAAGTACAGAAAACATGGATTTTTCTTTTTT